GATCTCTGCATCGATGCCAGTGTTGGATACAGTGGTTTGACCTCACCCAAATTTAGGGATGGCAGCTAAACTTTTTCTGCATAGTACTCAATTTTGAGTTTTGCTGCAGGATTGTTCTCTTACTGAGTAGTCCTGCATGGTACATTTGACAATTCTTACTGTTTCCTGATGTGTCACTTTTAAGATGAGACTTCTTTAATCTGGACTTTTTTTTTTCTCTTGCTACGGCAGATCTCTATCTTCTGCTGTGGGTTTTACGGCCTAGGACGGATCGACTGGGTTAGTGTGAAAGGAAACGAATGAGTCACCCGCAGAACTTGTCAGCAGGCTGGGAGGGAGCTCCGCAGCGGGGGTGGATAGGGTGGAACAGTAAAATTTTTGACCTCACCCCTCTCTAGGCACGTGTCATTCTGAGCGAGCTTTCAGACAGCACTCAAGAATTTTTTCCAAGAATGTTAGTTCCAGAGTTTCTTTTCTCTATATACTGGGAGAGTATATTTTAGAAAAGATGGTTGCTTTGGTTCTTGTTAACATGTGTTTCCGCGGCTTTAAGGCTCAATTTGGAGGTCTTGGTGATTTCTTTCACTTGAAAAGCACCTTGTGTTTTAGAAGCAGCGGGATGTTTCGATAGTGTATGGATTGAATGTGGGTCACTTAGCGAGGCAATGCAGGGAAGAGAAATGTAACGTACGTAGTGTCAGGAGAAGCCTGTCTGGGCTGCAGCATCGTATCAGGATGGCAGTTTTTATGGGATCAAGTTGTGTACCGTCAGTGCGCTGAGGTGCTGATTCCACGTGTGTAGGTGCAAACCACAAGAATGACGTTTTATAGAAGAGGAAAAATTCAGCAGCTCGTGACCCGACTTCGTTAATATCAAATGTGGATTCCCACTTAGAGGAACAAATCTAGTTGAGGTGATTTCAAAATACTGGTCTTCAAAACACTGAATTATTCTTTTAATACTGAGTGACAAATTAGCGGGCTTTGCCGTGCATCCTGTGCGCTGGGTTATTTTGAAAGGTGATCCAAGTGACCTTTCCAAAGGTATCCATGTTTTGCAATCTCTGGAAGCTGCAGCTGTTGCAAGCTGTTTCCCTGTCTCAGTGTAGCTAAGGCAGCACTTTTACCGGTGTGCTTTGAAGGAGATGGTGGAACTATGAATTCGTTATGATGTTATTACTTGTTTTTCATTAGACCTGTCTCCCTGAACTTGTATAAGCTCAATATAGAAGACAGAGTGACTTGCCCTATTGAAGTGTCTCATTTAGGAGTTAATGCAATGATAGAGGAGCCAGCCACTGGAGATGAATATTGTAGGTGTGTTAGATTTTTACTTAAAGAAATCTTAAGTGAAGTTTCTGTCAAGTCAGGAATTAATTTAACTGTTCTCTCTTCATTAGTTAATCACCCTGATTTATTTGTGCTAGTTAATAGGTCTGCCCCTTGCTTACGTTTTGAGCATATTCTTGCACGTTCATAGTATTTTGAAAGACATTCTTCTCAAATTGGCCTCATTAGGCTTTATCAAGCTTTCTCGGCATGTATGGCTGTGTGAGAGGTGGGGAGCTCGCAGTGCTGTTAGTTATAACCTAAATTAGTCCTGTCTGTAGGCGCAGAGACTGTCACAGCTCACTAAACTTGGTTGTGTAGATAGGCATCTTGATTGATGATTATTCCCTGATAATTAAGTTAAACAACATCAGGAACTGACTCCCAGGCATATCTAGTTCTTTTCAGATGCATGAGTGGCTATTGTTGGCTGCTTTTCTGCTGCTGTCTCTGCTTTTTCTCCTCCTCTGGTTCCTGATGGAGCTGTTGCACCTCTTCTGCAGTGTTGATGTGTTGGGTACTTCTGCTCCCTTGCTAAGGCCGGCCACATAAAACATGTAGTAATTTTTTGGTTTCTCTCCATGTACTATCTCACTTTCTAAGTATAAAAAGTTGAAGGTTAATTGGCTGAAAAATGATTTCTTGTTTTATGTTGTGCTTAGACCTGGTTACTATTTATCGTCGTCAGTTTCATAGTGCTCAGTTCTCTTGGGATTTTGAAGTGCAAATTTGCTTGTTAATGCAGGGAGGAAGAAATTTTAAAGTATATACTTGGGAAGATCAGAAGTTGTAGATAATAGGGCTTTTCCTGTTTTTCATTTTCTTAATTGGAAGCTTGGTTTTTCTTTTTAAACTTCAGCTTAGCAGTTAGCAGTTGAAAAGTCATGGGAGGAAAGGATATGTGTGTCGGTAACCGAACTTTTAAAAATAGGATTGCGTGCTACATAAACTTCTTATCCTTCTGGAAATCATTTTTCAGACTTAAATACAGTGCTTTACCTTTTTAATCACTCCTTAGCTACTAGCTAATTAAATGCTTCAGTAATATTCCTTTGGGGAAGGTAAGATGGTGTCATTCCTGTTCTGCAGACGGGTTGAGCTGCTGAAAGTGGCTTGGCCAAGGTCAGACGACGAGCAGCTGCAGATCTGAGAGTAGGACTTGTGTTGGTGACTCTCCCTGCCATACTTAATTTACTGGAACATGTCATCTCTCTGTGTCTTTTCTTAATGACTTGGTAAATAGTCTTTACAAAAGACTTTTAACATAATTGGGTTGAAATTCCCTCTTTGATTTGCTTTAGGGAGGAGAAGTGTAACCATAACGACCTGATCTGATACAACTCGCAGTGCAAATAGCACTGGATGAGGCTCTTCCAACCAAATTATTGGTGCTGAAAAGAAAAATGTTTAAAGGATTTGTTTAAATATGACACAATAGCTCATGCCTTTGTGACAGTGTACTTTGTAATGCTCTCCAAGTTTTGATCTCCTATGCCAAGATCTGTTGACCACTGTTTTTATTTAAATGACCTTGTTAGGTCCTAAAAAGTTGGTTTTGAAACTCTTCCTGTAATGTAAGTCTGCAGGTCACTCTCCAGGACATGTTGGGTGATGGGAACGTGTGTTCAAATGTGGGAAAAACAGGCTGGTATTTGATGCAAGAAAGTGTTTTTTCAGGCAAGTTTTACAGGTGTTGGACACGTGGATGCTGAAACTTTAGCCATTCTGTTCCTGGTACATCACAGCTATAGCAGACTTATACATTTTAACAAATCCTTTGCTTTGAGATTCGGTAGTATATATGAGAGAGTTGTGACAAATGTGCGAGAATTGACAAGTGTAAGGACTTGAGTATGATGTGTTTAGATGGGACTCTTCCGTCTGGGGTGAGACTTAATCCTGTAGTCATTACACTGATAAAATATTCCAGGATTCATTTTTGAAATTTGTATTTCAGTCACTCAGAGTAAGAACTGCGTTAAGGTCAGGGGAGGTTATTGAAAACATCTTTGTTCTTGCCTCTGGCAACCTAATTAATGTATTTTTTTGGCATTGAAAGCTGTTCTTTAAGGAAATAATTGCTGTTCTTTGGGTGATTTTTGACTTCATGTCAGTGAAAAAGGTAATTCCATACTACTTGATTTGACTATTTTAAAGTGAGGATCTCATTAAAATGTTGAGTGTACCAGAAGTTTGGGGTGTGAACTTCCATGCATGTGTGTTTTTTCCGTAATTGTATTCACTTGAGTGTGCCACGTTGACCTTTCCGCTTGAGTTGCAGGCCTGTGACTTCTGGCTGCTAGTTTGGATTTTATTCAACTGATTTAAAACTCTTTCCTTAAAGAAGTGTCAGTTGTGACTCTTTGGCTTCATGCTTTTTAAACGCTGTGAAAAGCCATGTTGCTTATTTAGTGTTTCACTCTTAAATCAGTTGAGCTAGTTTAGGTTAGCTCCATTTCCATCCCCCTAAACTTCATGGTAGAATTACATTTTCCATCTTTTATTGTTGTTGCTAAAACATCTATATTTTGAATCCTGTGCGTTAGGAAGCTGCTGCTGTTTTAATGCCCTAGTCTGTAAACACAGATAGGACTGAGAATAACTAAAAGTTATTACTGCTAAATGGCCATTTGGTTGCTTTTGAAATGACTGATTTCTGGAGGATATCTCCTTACTACTCTAGGGAGTTTGGTGCTATAACAATGTTGGTGCAATTTATCTGCTAGCAAAAGCTCAAATGTATGACAGTTATCCTCTTATTTCTGCTTGTACTGCTTATTTTGTCGAGAAAATAAAGCCATACTGACAATATATTTTACATATTTGGGCTTAAGCCAAACAGGTATGACTGTACCAACAGACACTTTCAAGCGTGTACTTGGCTTTGTGCTATTTTCTCCTCTTCTAGAGCACCTGGTGAGGAGGGAGGGGGCCGCAGAGAGCACAGAAAGGTTTCCTTGTTCTCGGTTCTGGTGCCTGGCTGTCAGCGACAGTAGTTACGAGAAGTCCCGTGTCTCTGGGTTAGAATGTACTCGGTGCCGAAAGAATATTCGGGATTACAACTAACCAGACTCTAGTAAAGATTGATTTTTTTTTTTTGTTTGTTTTTTAAACATAGTCTTATCTAGTCTAATTTGAGTTTCTCTGGCAGGGCCGATACTTGGTGTTTCTGGAAGTAGAAGCAGCACATCCTCTTACATGGTATTTTTCTTCTCTTTAGGAGTTCCGTTGGAATATACGCCGCACATTTATGGCGATTCTGAGTGTGAGGGCAGACTTCTGCCAGGCCCAGCACAGCATCCTGGCTGACAAGTGAGCTGAGTGCAGGGGGTTCTACGTGCCATAATTACTTTGCCTTGAAGACTCCAGACACAGCGAACACACTCAAATATATGGGATATCTTCTGCACATTGGAAGCATATTCCTCTTATTGACTCTAGCAAAACTAAGCATCAAGAAAACAAAGTGGAGAGAAAATCTGCCCTTACTTTTTTGCCTCACCAGTGCCTAAATGTAGAACAGGCTGCCTAGTCTTGCATGTAGTCAGAATTTTTGGAGTCTGAAGGATACCACCCACAGTAATTGAGGCCGAAGTTGAATTCAAGTGGATTCTGAAACAAACCTGCTTTTCTAGAAGTGAATTCTTTAAGGAACAAACACGTCAAAGCAAGCTCTGATCAATCCCAGGCATTTTAGCGGTCTTTTTAATGTTTTCTGCTGTGAAACGTTTCCAAGGTTATTGATTTTTTTTTTTTTTTAAATTTTTTTGGCCCCTTACACATTTTGTTTGCCATTATGAACCGTCCAGCCCCCGTGGAAATTACTTATGAGAATATGCGTTTCCTGATCACTCACAACCCAACCAATGCAACCCTCAGCAAGTTCATAGAGGTAAGGCACTCAAAGTATCATCCTTCTTCCTGTATGTGCTCATGGTTTCTGTAGAAGTAATGAAAAGTCATTCTTCACACCTGTTGCTTAATGCTTTGCCTATATGTTTTATGTTGTGTGAAACTTAAGGCATTTTTATCTTTAATATACTGTTCACATTCTCTTGACAGTATGAGAAGAGAATCCACCGATTACTTTTTCCGAAGTCCTTCATTTCTCTAATTGTGGGAGGCTGGATGAGCTTCCATTCTAGAATACAAACACACACCCTTGCTGTCATTCTGGTTTCTGAAGGGCTGCACATTCTGTGATTTTTAGATGTTATTTTTCATTAAATAATTCAATGCTTGTAATATATTGACTTATTGCTCATCTTTTGGCTATTAAAGAAGTAGTTAACAGAATTGTAAGTGTTTTCTGAGCTGTCTTCTTCCTTAGAGTAGGATTAAGCATACTACTTAAACTGATGTTTTAATGTACAGGATGTGGTCTCGAACTGCCCTACCAATCCCAGAATTGTCAGAGATTTTGGGTGCCAGAAATTATCCATGAAAAATGACATCTGCCTGGGTTGAACTGTGGGAAGAGTCAATTACAATGAACAGACCGTTACTGACACAATAAGATCTTAAATACTGCAAAACTTAATACTCAGTTTTCTGAAAAAGTAACAGATTATATCATCAGAGAAATAGTAGTACAGTGTATTTCTGCATGTTAGCTTGCTCCAAACCTGCTATATCTTTGTGCCCTTATATCTTACATCTAGATGACTTTTATCTTGAACATGCAGGTCTCTTTCATTCCAAAGAGATCCTGTCATCTGATACTGATGTCTGGCTGGGGCTATTAACAGACTTCCATCATTTAGCAGTGTGCTCTTCACCATGAATGTGTTCAGATATTAGTGGTTAATCTTGTCTGAAAGGCACATTCTTTTGGTCTTTATAAATATTTTTTTTCCCCATTGTTGTGGATTGTCTTCCTTTTTCAGGAGTCTTGACTTTGGAATATATATTATTGCTAATTGTTAGGAGTTATCGTGATTTAGTCCAAACATGAGAGGAAATTCTGCTTACTGTATGAACCTTCAAAGTGAACTGGAACAGCTTTTGTTTGATCTTCTGATTATTTATCTAGCACAATGTGCTACTTATAGTGCATTACAAGGAAGCTAGAGTATGGTGGTGTGTGTGTTCTGTTCCTCCCTGCCTCAAAATGTCAACACTGGCTGAAGCAAACAGTTCCAGGCTTCTATTTAAAGAGAAGAAGAAGCTGCATAGAGCATATAAGGAGCTATTTTAATTTTCCTCTTATACGTGTAATTTTTTTCCACCTAGTGCTTCCCTAGAGAAGAATTCAGAGGTGTTTCACATTTATTCCTGTCACTTGTAACCCTTGTCCTGATGTAGGCCATAAACCCCCCTTTCTCTGTTGGCCCTTGCTCCTTCATTGTGTAGTCACCTTGGAGCTGTGCAATAGTTGCGGCACTGCTGAGACTGTAAAATGTTTAGTTTTGTAACTGATGAGAAAGTTCTTTAATTCTTCGCTCTGTTAGTGTGCTCACATGTTTTCCTTTTTCTTAAAGGAGCTGAAGAAGTATGGAGTGACAACCTTGGTGCGAGTTTGTGATGCCACTTATGATCAAGCTCCTATTGAAAAAGAAGGAATCCAGGTTCTAGTGAGTTGCCTTTAAAGCTGTCTAAAAATGAAAATCACTTGTCTAGAAGTGGTGGGGAAGGCCTTCATGCTTTGGGCAAGAACTTATAACTGTTTCAGATTGGCCAAAACCAATGTGATCACCTGCATCAGATAAAGCTGGTTTTGAGAAACTCCCTGTACTTTTGTGAAAGGTACTTGCTGATTCATTACTATTGCTGGAGCGCTTTAGTTGCACTAGAAATGTCAGTTCCTGGATTTCTGGACTTGTTGAGATATTTTGATTGCCTTTTAGTGACTAGTTCAATACTAATCCAATGTTGAGCTTTGTTGTTTCATACAAATCGGTTTGGTCCTTTTCTCTAGATACAGCACTTCTTGGCTTCGCTCATGGCCTTCTCGGGATGCAGATAAAACTCCCTTTTCTCGCTCTTTCAAAAAGTGCCACCTTTTGAGAGTATAGCTGACAAGTTGATCCAGGCTTCCATGGACTGACTGTAGCAGGATATTGATCGATAGCCTCCTCACTGCTTACCTCTAAATGGAGCCTGGCTGCTGGTGGCTTCCCTGGTCAGCAGGTGGAATTCCTTAACTGCTACTCAGAGTTGTGTTATGCAATGACTGTCTGACAATATCGTCTAGCATTGCTTGGTGTTTTAGGGGAGGTTTTTTTAATAGGTGTGTGCTCATACTAAGCTTGCAGGCAGTATTTTTCCAGGCAATACTTCTGAATTATTACAGTGTGTCAGATATAATCAGTTTATTTTACTGGAGTGAGTAATGCTCTGTTTTGAGGCCAGAAATTGCATCTTACCTTCTTGTTGCAGGTAGTCAGTCTTCTATTGCCTCTTGATTTTTATGGGCTCAGTCTGAGGAAAACTTCTGCAGTTTTCCATTAGGAGAAAAACTTGTATCCTGACATATCTGTGAAAACTCCACGTACAGGTCAGTCAGGTTTCTTGGCTGCTGGCCCTAGTAAGCATTTACTCCAGTTCCAGGCAGCCACGTGTGCCTCAGTGTTGTTGGAAAAATCAGTCACTATAAGGCTACCAGTGCTCCTAGGGCTGTGCTCTGGAATAGCATTTTTGTTCACTCTAGAGCTGTCTTGGACTTGAGCATCACAGTATTTTTGGGCACGCTCCTGTGAAACCTCTAGCTGCGATACTCCGAAGGTTGCCAGAGACTGGAAGGATTAAACTTCTGGTGTGGAAGCCCTCAGAGCTCTGATTTAAGCTGGGGCTTAGAGTATTTCTGTGTTCCCGTGTCAGAGCACAGATCCGAGTTCTTCCTAGAAGACTTAGGACAGTTTTGCAGGTGTCCACCTCTGCCAGGGTGGCTGCCCTGTGAGGCCAGCTGACCTTGGCTCCCGCAGCTGTGAGCGAAATCCACCTTCTCTCCAGTCCATGGCCTCCAGGGCAACTGCAGGAGTTGGGGAGTGCTCTGCGCTCTGGAGCCTGCGCTTCCGAAATGGTTTGGGGATTTTGGTTCTCGAGTAACTTTCAAAACTTGGTGTTGGCTAGGTTTGAACTGAAAGCAGTTTTTTGAGGAAGCTTTTCTAAAAACTGGAAATAGTGTTTCCGCCAGCTCTGCTAAGCACTGTTCTGTTGGAGAGCCTTTCGCTTTGAGTAACATATGTGAGAGTCTTGTGTCTGGACACATTTGCTGCAGCTAACAAGCTTCTCCGCGTTTCGTATGTACCAGTTCTTCTCAGTACTCCGCTGCTGCGGAAGGAGAGAGCATAAATCCGCCAGGCATCTGTTAAGGGTAACAGAAAGCAGGAGGTGACAGGGAAGGTTTGCTGCTAATGTCATTAGTGATCCTGATGATCCCAGTCATGAGGTTATCTTAGTAATTTACTGTATTGCAATAGTGTTTTGCTATTTGAGATAAGCTTAACTAGTCACCGACATGACCACCTCCTGTATAGCTTTTCCTTCCTATGAATGCGTGCTTTTTGAAAGCAGAGTCCTGTTGCTGTTCAGAAATGGTATTGAATTACCATCTGGCTGAGAAAATAACACATCACTATTTAAAGCTAATATTTGCTTGCAAAAATAACATTAAGATTAAAAACACAGCCTGAGAGAGATTAGTGTCTATTTTAAAACTGTTGAGGTCAAAAGCATAGTGAAACCCCTGAAAATGAGAGCATTTTAGCAAAGCCTGCTCTCATGCCGGGATACAGGATCATGTACTGGCAAGATGGGTAGAATGTGGCAGCTAGAGAGTAGCTTTGGCAGATGGCATAGTGAGAAAGTAGAGAATTAGATGTTCCATGTTTGAAGTAGTACTATTGCATGCGCATGTTTATCAACAGAGATTAAATCCAGGAGACAGGAGGCGGGGATGGATTTAGTTTCTGTGGGCTTATGTGGTTCTTACAGTTATGTTCATGTGTAAGGTCTTGTGACATAGAAATGCTACATCGGAGAAAAACTGGCAGTTTTTTTTCTGGAATTATTTGTGCACTGGCTGGCAACCAAGGAGTTTTGTTCATCTTCAGGATCTAAGACACGTTTCATTGTTCCACTTCAATCAGTCCTTCATTTACTGTTCATGCCTGGATCAAACTTTCTTGACACTCTGTGCCCAGCAGAATGGCCTGAATGCTAGCGGGCAGCCGGGAGTGCCCGTGTTAGAGCTGTGACTTCTTTGCCATCGATACGGCACCGCTGTGGACTCTGGTATTGAAGGTGGGAAAGTTCCCCGCTGGTGGCTGTGGTCACATCCTATGCAGATGCAGGCAGTTCTGTGGGCGTTTTGCTGCTGTAACTTCAGTGCAAGTTGCACACCGGTTTTGAAGAAAGGGTCCTTTGTCATTTTAAAGTCCTGTTACTGCTTCTTGGTCATCTCAGTTCTGCATTGCCAGTCCTGCAGTCATTGCTGACTGACAAACCCAGAGCTGTTCTGCTGAGCAAGGCTGCTCCAGATAAAGGGTAAATAAGAATAACCCTTTCTTGTCTATAATCCTTCCCAGCTACTGCAGGGTGGCACAAAAGAGCTATATTTTCTGTTTGTGCAATCTCAGTGCATCATCCTGGTTATTAATGACTGTTTTGGTCGTGGAGCTTAGCAATTTGTTTTCTATCCTGTCCGACAGGGATTCGGAGGTGATGCTGGCAGAACTCATAATCAGGAAAAAAAACCTGCAAAACTTTGCAGCAATTACTTTTCTAGTCCCAGAATTATTCTTGTTCCTCGTTCTGGGCAGTGTCACATGCAGCAGTATTTTATCAGTGCTACTTTAATGTCGGTGGTGTGCCATTCCCGGGAAGGTGATGATCTGTGGGGAAATGACAATTGTGATTAATTCAGGCCAGCACAGGAGTTGTGTGGACGTGATGGTTAACATGTAAGCTAAAGCAATGGAGTGAGCTCCTGCATTTGGTCTGAAGGAAAGGATTTAATTTTACCTAAAACTAGGGCACAGAACTGACATGTAAATCCTGTTCTTTGCAAGGCAGTTTCAAAAGAAAACATCTTGCGATGGGTAAAGCCTCTTGTCTTGGCAGCTCATCTCTTTCTGGGACAGTGGATGACACTAGGCCTAAAATAATACAGCTAGCAGTGTGTGATTGAGTGGAAAATCTCATAAAAGCCTTTTATTAGAAAGAGCAAGTTTTACTTTATGATCTTGCTTTTATAGCCTTTTATTTTGCTGTGTTGTCCCAGATATTTTTAATTTCCCGTTTGCTTTAATAAAGGAGTTCTCTGCACTCGTCAGATTTTGTGTATCTTTCTGAATTAATTGCATATAAAGTTATTTCAGTAACTTAAAGCTTTTTGGTTCTGTAGGTCCGAGACACATATTTCCACCTTGCAGCTTTTGTAAGTGCTAACACATTTATAAGGTGCTCTTGGGCTGAGGGCTGTGCTAAGCTGTACTTGCTATTCAGGAAGTGTTAGGGTAGCAATAAGTGCATTTCAAAATGAAAAGTCTGGTGGTTTTTTGCCTTTGGTTGTACTTGTTCGGAGTTTCTGCGTGCTTCTTTCAAGCTTCAGAGAGTATTACTTTGTATTAACCTGTTCTCAAGATAGTACGTGAAAGACTTGTTTCTAGCCAATGAGGGAAGAAGAGGCCTCTTTTCAAAGCAATTTCCCTACCATTTGGAGAGGTTGTTGAATAATATGAAACTCTGGCTATGAGTCTCTCTTGTAAAATGCATTGCAGTCATCTAATGAAAAGTGCTAAATAACTACTAAGTCTTAGTTTTTCCCTTGCATCTAGGAGTGCTCTTTCTACAGCACACCCTGTGTCTGAGAAGATTATAAAGCATGTGATGTTGTGCTTGGTCCTGAAATGCAGGACGTGTAGTACTCCGTTTAGCAAGAGTTCCAGGAGAGAGCTGTGACCTCAGGAAAATGGGAAGCTTCTGACATGTAATTTTGATTAACGGCCATGTTGTTGATATTAAATGTGGCCTAAATAGTTTAAATGTTGGCTACCCCTTTAATAGGCAGAAATGTAATTGTAAATGCTGCTTAGTTGTTGACTTCGCCTTTGTCTAAGCGCTCTTCTTTTTCACTTGTGAATGTGTTTTTTTGACTTGAAAATACTGAGGTAATTTTAACTGTCTTGCATATTGGATTCGTGGCAGCTGGACAAACTGATCCATTTGAGTTGTTAGGTAGTACTTTCTCCTCTGCTGGTCCCCTTGGATTGTTGTGAAGCAGCTTCTCCTCTGTTCAGAGGCTGCAGTACAAATGGAATTTTAAAAGGCTGACACAACCACAGGCAAAAGTCTACAGAGTTCTCATCTTTCAAATGTTTATTTGAAATGTCTATTGATTTTTACATGTTTTTAATGAAATGATATTTCAAGGGCAGCTATTTTTCTAAAAATTCTATACTACAAAGGAGTTAGTGTAGAGTTTTATTGAAATTTTATTGAAAAGTGCAATTAAATGATTGTTAAACATTTAGTGTTGCGCTATGATATCGACTCATGGACTTCTGTGCAACCAGAACAATACTCACAGCACTGTTCATGTAATACTCACTTCTTGCTGAACGGAATAGTTTGCTTCTCCCAGTAACGGTTACCTTCTTGGTGATTATGGATTGAAATCCTTTTTAATATCGTTTTTTCCTTCAAAGGACTGGCCGTTTGATGATGGAGCACCTCCCCCGAATCAGATAGTTGACGACTGGCTAAACCTGTTGAAAACCAAATTTCGTGAAGAGCCTGGATGCTGTGTCGCTGTTCACTGTGTTGCAGGGTTGGGAAGGTTCGTATGCCGCTGGCTTGTTTTTGTACTGGACTTAAAGTTAGTTTGTTTGGGAGATAAGTCACGGAAGGTGTTAAGTAAATGCCAATTTCTCTATTTTCTCCCAAGTAACACTTTAAAGCAGCATCAAGTTTGTGTCATTAAAGCAAGAGAGACTTACTGCTGCTAAAAACCTTCAGTAATTTCATAACTCTGATCAAGGATGAGAGGAAAAGCTTGGAGAGGTTATTCAGAACACTTCTGTCAATCATGAACAACACAAGCAGTTAGAGATGCTATTAATTTGAAAGTTTATGTCTGCGAAAACAAAATCTCTTGTGCTTCTTGACAAATACAATATACATGTATAGTACGATTTCTAAAGCTGTACAGTTGGTTTTTTTCATTTCCTCTTGTTTTTAAGTAGTACAATATTAAGCATGTGGGAATAAAAGAAAAAGCATTTAGAAAAACTAGTTCAATTACGTTCTTACTCTCAAGTGGCTTCATTTCAGTGGTAAGAAGAGTTAGGCTTGTATTTCTTGCTCACGTGCAGACCGATGATTTCTCTTCTCAGCACTCAAAAGATAACTTCCTTCTTTGGGAAGAACTGCCTTTCAATTGAAATAAAATAATAAAAAAAGAAAGACTGATTTGGGAAAGCGAAATGCTCCATTCATATTCCCAACTGTAATTTCTGAATGTTATATTTATCCTATGGGCTAGAAGGAGATGGAGCTTAAGTGTTAGTATTCTTACAACAACCATGGGACTGTCAATATTTAAGGATATGAATGAGTGGACAAGAAAGGTGGATTAAAGAAGTCAAGTAAGCACAGAGATGGAGTGCATCAAGCTCTTAAATTTCCACCTCTAGAGAAGAAGAGATGGGGGAAATGAAGAGGTAGAGGGAGAAATGGCCAATATTTAAAGGCACAAGAGCCAAAACCCCAAGGCAATTCACGTTTGTTTATCCATTTCTGCTCTATTTTTATCTGAGGAACACCTTTAGGAAGGTGGCCACGTGTAACTCAAGTGATTTTCAACTCTCCTGATTCTTGCATAATACCAGGCCAAAGGGTACCAGAAGCTTCCCACCTTGTGTGTGTCACATAAACTTGTGTCTGTTCCTTACAGAATGACCTTTTTGCTGTTGTTCTCGGACTATTTCTGGCAGAGGGAAAAACAAGAGCTTTACAGATTTTGCTTTAATCTGGAAAACTGTCTACCTGTAGCAGGGAATTGAACTTCAACTCCAGTAAAGACAGGCAGCTTTTTCTTTTTTTTTGGTTAAAGTGGCTTTTGAAGTTTCAAAATATTTCCTTTGGAAAGTGAATAGTTGTGTTTATGCAAGTGCAGCATGGCCCTGAGAGTTGTTTCTCTTGAGCTATGTTTTTGTTTAGCCAGGAGTGCAAGTTGTCCAACTGTTAGCACCTGTTTAATCCTTCAGTACTCAGAGGTGCCTTTTGGAACTGTGTGTGTTCAGTGGGGTGAACATCAGTCCAGGAGGAAGTCAGTGTGTACTGGGATTTCTGCTTGTTTGAAAAGCCAGCTCTTTACACTTAACCGATTTACGAAATGTGGACTCCAAAGTAGAAAATTTTACTCTCTGGTCCCTGGAACTCCCAGTTCCATGTACAGCATGTAATTAAAAAAAAAAAAAAAAATCTATACAAGTCATCTGTTCAATGCTTTATAGATCTGCCTCACGAACAGCTAAATCTACAGTGTCATAAGGAGCAAAATGCACGCAAGAGGTGTTACACACTTGTTTGAGCAAAGTAGAAAATTAGGTTATAGTGAAATGAGAAAGCGTAAAAATCTAGAATTATTGTTTCATGCCCCAAACGCTAAGGAGTTATTGATTTTTATTTTTTTGTGTATGTGCTGGAAGCAGAGCTGCCTGCTAAAAGAAATTTTACATTAGGTACTCAGCAGGCGAATGCCTTTCTGTAGATAAAAAGAGAAAATACTTCAGCTATCTGTTTATAGATTAATTTGATGTATTTTGAGGGGTTCAAAACATTGTTTATCTAGATCTTCCTTAAATATTGATTTCTTCCTTAGGGCTCCTGTACTGGTTGCACTTGCTCTCATTGAATGTGGAATGAAGTACGAAGATGCAGTTCAGTTTATAAGGCAGTAAGTTAAACTTCCCCATTCTCAAGAAATCTCTCAGTTTACGTTGTATCTGAATGTCGTGCATCTTCAGCAGAGTTTGTTAGATTTTTGATTTGTTTTCTAGTAGCTATATCCTGACAATAACGGGTGTGACTTTGACATTAATGCTGAGGCTTTAAATCTGGACTTCTATATTAAGCCATTGACCTAATACTCAAAAGATTTTGAACTTGGGAGGAAAAAATGTCTAGGCTGTAAAAACTATGGATTAATTGAACACGGACAAATTACTCCTAATTAAACAAGAAATAAAATTCTAGTGAGGTTGGGCCCCCAAGCAGAATTTCTGCAGCAAGTAGGTGAGCACCAGCAGTCCCACAGGTGTTGTGGGTGAATGCGTTATCCACCCAGGAAATGTCAGCAACCACCCTGTCTGGAAAAATAACAAAACTGGTGAAGGATGAGACTGCAGAGCTCTGTTGGTTTAGTGATAACATCAGATCTTGAAATGAAGCCCAGCAGGTAAGATTATGTTGAATGAGCTTTGCCAAAAAAGCAATTCATCCTTTTATGGATTCCCAGGGTCTTCAGTTGTCTTTGTAAACTGTATTGCTGTCAACAGATTTTTCTGAAATTTTCTTTTCTTAAATTGCTTTTTTCTCTTCTCGGGTATGGTACCTTTTATACCAAGAAGCTCTTTTCTGAGAACCTCTTACTATATTAGCTGAGTAAGACCATGACATTCAGATACAAATATATAAGTAGCACATGCATCTGCAAGGAAAGGGTGACCTTGAAGTTGTTCGGTGACTACTGCTGGTGATGAAAATAAACTCTCCCTATCCAAGAAAACATGCTGAAATTTGCCAACTGGATTTTGATTTTAATATTGGCGTGCAGGTGAGGAACTGCATGTGCTAGTCTGGTTTATCCTTCTTCAAAGTGTCAATGGATACAGAACCAAGCCAAAATGCTGTTTTGAAGATAGAGAAAAGCTTTGAAACGAGAACTAAGCTGCCTTAGAATGTATATGGTGATTGAAGCAGTACTTTTTCCGTTGATACTAGCCTTCATTCTCTTTGTTTTAGGAAAAGGAGGGGAGCTTTCAATTCCAAACAGCTGCTTTACCTTGAGAAATACCGACCTAAGATGCGATTACGCTTCAAAGATGCCAACGGTCACTGCTGTGTTCAATAAAAAAAAAAATCTCATACGAAGGCAGAAGTTAGCATGGCTGTTTTCTGGACTCTTGGCACCTGGAAATGTGAATCTGGAATCAAACTACGTCATCAAATTAGTGGTGGAGTCAGTGCTCCTCAACCTCTGTCCTAATGGTGGTGATGATTGAAAAAAATAAAAATAAAAAAAATAATTAAGAGAAACATTTCAGTGAAGGATTGTTTTCTCCTTAAGCTGCAGTTTGAACATCTGCAAGGAGAAAATCAGTTTCTGAACCTTCTGTATTTTTAACTTTTTAAGAAAAGAAATAAAGTAAATTTTATGTCTAAGGAAAACCAGCAGAGCATTGGCTTGTGCAGAAACTATTTTCTTGATTTGAGGAAAGTACCCCACAGTTAGGGCCTAACTCTTTTAAATGGAGTTGCCTTTTTTTTTAACCTTGCTGGGACCTGGCAGGCAAACGTGAGGAGGAGCCTTTGTTGCTGTATGGGAACAGTCTGATGGCCTTAAGCCCACCCTGGGCATATTCTAGATATTCGGTGATGTCTGTGTTGTATGTCCACACGGTGTTCAGACTCTGCAGGTGTGAAAAAACTTCCTGGTGGGCTTGAACAGAAGACTTGCTGTCTTAATATCTTTGGTGAATCTGCTAAAGGCCTTTTTGGATTGGTGGGAGACAGTGCTTTTAACTGTGTGAGTGTGTGTGTATGCATGGGTGTGTGATCTTGTGGGTGTGTATGTCGCAGTCTTTATTTTTCCAAAGAATTTGGCTGAAACATTAATTGTCTTTCTGTTGCTAGATAGAAAATCTATCCCAGCAGAAGACTGATGTTCAAAAGTGTCCTAGGTGAGCAAAGGGCAATTCAGACAAGGACTCGAAATTAATTTATCTCTCATAAGGAAGAAAAAAAGGCTTTTTGCTGCTGTCCAGATTCTCTGCCTTGCTGAACACAGTAAATCAGGATTTGGGGGGTGAGTCTCGTTTGTATCATATATGAGGTAAAGATGGTATGCACGCAGAAATGCGGTCCATGAATAAAAGCCTAGCATGGGTCTTTTTCCAGACTAGCCCTCATGTACAGTTCAGTTTAACCACTGATTGCCTTGTTATTTTTTTATTAGGCTCTTTTGGGGGGAGAATCTCTAGCTGCACGCCAACATGCCTACCATGTATTCACCATTGGCAGACCATAAATATGCTGATTTTTGCAGTGTGGACTGGCACCACGTTCTCTTTGTAGGGCCACTGGTGTTGTCAGTGAATTAATCAAGACAAGTCATTTGACAGCCTCTAATAAGCAGTTTCAGCCAGGCTACTTCTACCAAACACACATTAACTTAGTGCCCTGCCCTAGTAGTGACCTCATATGCTTTCAACTTGACATTATGTCTGTAATATTCAGCCACTGAAGGCTTTGAATACAGGTTTAGGGTCATATTCTCCTGTGATCTTTCGCCATGGAGCACCAAAGGCTTTTGTTGGTCTGTGCCTGTAGCAGGTGTAGACTGGTACCCATCTTTTACTGATACCTCAGCTCCTGGCGATGTGAACTGCCTTCCCAGGATTTCTTCCTATTCTGGACTTCTGTTTTCAGTCTGCAGCTTAACTGCGCAAATAATAAGTAATGGACTTCTAGAATTCCATTCCTGGAAGGGATTTATAAATTTCAGCAACAAGTAGTGGTACTTGTCAAGCCCCTCACTTTACAGCTGCGCTACCGGACCTGTTTGAGGTCCATGGCTAGGAAACACTGCACTCCACGAAACTCCGTCTGTACCCTGACTCAAGCTGTATTGCTGTACTGAGTTCCTTCCTCCGTTTAAGATGTGTAACGTTTCTGATTTCTTTAATAGATAAAGGAGACGCGAAAGTGTTTGTGATGTCGATGCCTACATTAGGGAAATAACGTATCTGGTAATGTTTGAGTCCGTGTGGAAGGTAGATGATGCTGAAATCACTTAATTCTGGCCTTTGCCTTCCCATCGCAAACTAGAAGCCTGATGTTCTAACTGTTTCTGCAAATTAAAATTGATGTTTTTAGTAAAATGAAGTACTGGTAGTTAAAGCTGATTTGACAAATGATGGAAGTCAGATTGGAGGGGAAGGTGTTGAGCCGGATTAAAAACCAAACCCCAAACCCTTCTGAAGAACAATAAAAATAAAATTTTACATGCTCTATGTATAACTCTGCATTCTTCCCCCGAGTTTTACTCTGGTTTATAATGTACTAATTTTCATATGCTATGACTCTGCAGCCTTAATTGAGGAAAATTAGTGAAAAGTGCAGACTGTCATACAGTGTAGACACAAACGGGGGGAGTGTAATTGTGACCGATGTCCAGTAGGCACAATACTTGGTTCAGCACTTGAACGTAGTGCAATAAAGTTCTTGCAGTAAAATGTCTTCCCTCTGGCTCTTGATGAATTTATTGCAGCTCATTAATGTCAAATGCTCTTCTTTAATCTGATTTGTAAAGGCCTTCGGACAAGTTTGTCCGTGCCCCGTGTATGACTGATCACCGTTGGGTAGTACATGGCTTGGAGTTGCTGGTGGGAAAGGCTGCTGCACCTTTGAGCAGTGCTGCAGACAGGAACTGTTTTCTTACTTCCAAATTACCTGTTTATAGAAGCGTAGATTTACCTTTAAACAAACAAAACGATGCCCCCAAACCAAACAACAGCTCTGAACTTTCCCAAGAACTGTCAAAGATCTGTTGCAAAACTTTTCTGTTGTGCCCTGGACAAGACTAGACACCATGCCACCTGGCAGAGCTTGAATGGGGTCATTGTCTTGGGGTAACAATGGGCAAGTTTCTAGAGTCCTGGATCCCAGTCAGTTCCCCTTCCTTGGGAGGGGAATGCCGCTGCGTTGATCTGTATAATTTATTTAAATAATACTAAGGTGCTATTTTCTGGGCTGCAGAGATAACAATCCAATCGGCTTTGCTTTGCTGCCATCAAAGAAATATGTTACTTGCAAATCGGTGTCGTGTTTCTAATATTTATCAGATTTTTCCCACTAGTGTACTAGAACAAATTTTTTGTCCCTGTTGGCAATGAGATAATAAACCACTTTGACTGCGAGACTGGCAGCAGTAACTGTGAAGTTCCAGCTCCTCTTTGTATTTGTTGTTAGGTTTTGTTCTTTGGGGTTTTTTTAACACCAAACTCTTGCTTTGTTTGTTTTTCAAAGTTTCTACCTCTTTGGTTGCCACACACAAAAATGAAATGTCTTGCTAGTCAAAGGTTACGCAGCATAAAAAATACCATGCATTTAATTGGAACTGAGATATTCCTGTATGATATGAGTTACTTGTTTCTCTTGCTGATTCTTTTTTTCGCTAACATCTAGGCAGCTTCAGATACTGATACTTTAACTGGAGATAACACTTAATCACATGCATATTTATGTCACTTAAGATGCTACTTTTGGAGCAATTAAGAATGATAAGCGGAGTGGAGTGACTCTGCATGGGGAGGGAAACTGCAGGAATCACGGTTCGCACTTCTGTAAGAGTGTATATTCTTTTAACTGAAAAATTATAAATCATTTAACTTAGTCTTAACACTTGCAAATCAATTCCAGAGAGCGTTGAGTTCCTTGGGGGAGGGGAAGAATCGCTTTTTGTCAGTAAGGAGAGCTGAAGTAAAATGTTAAGGTCACTGTCAAACCTGTTGTCTCTCTAGCTTTGTGTAGCGTCACTGCTCCTGTGCAGGCTGAAGAGGGCCAGACCCTCGGCTCTGGCTTGGGACCGTCCCCAGCGGACCGACGGGCTGCTTAGGCTCGGGCACTTGGAGCGCACGGTTATTGGCAGCCGAGCTCCACAGTAAGTTCCCAGGCTCGGGCAAGTGGATTGCTGTACTCGTCTGGCCGCTCTGGAGGCTGGCAAGGCTGCAGAGGTGTGAAGTTGGGGGTATGAAGTAGTTCCTCGACTCTTTTGTGAAAATGGAGACGATGAGGAACCCTATGTAGAGCTGGAGTTATGTGATTAAGTCCCAAAGGGCCATAACGGGTAATGCTTTTCACAGGTTTGTCTGGAACACCTTTCATTTTAGGCTGTCCGAGGGCTGTGTGGGCATCGTTACCGTGATAGTCCTGTGTTAAATACTTGTATCACTGTTTTGCAAAAACCAAAACCAAACGCACGGAGCTAAATCTTAGGACCTCCCCTTGTTCTGACTGCTTGCTTCATCAGAACTTAAATCACCATTGTCAATGAATGAAGGGATGTAAGTGAAGCCTTAATTGTTCTTCATGCCATATATTTAGTGTAGATCCTGCTACTACTGACTGGTGGGACAACATCAGAAAGAAAATTAGGCTCTCTCAGGAAGTTATTGGCTGGCAAAGTCGTTGGTCCCCAACTCTCTTTCCTGGGCTTTTGCACATCTCTTTGGACCACTGGGCAGATCCTCGTTTTTGGGGCTGTGGGACCAGCTAACTGGGCACCCGAGCCCTTTGCGGGGCTGGCGGCGTGACTGGCAAGCAGCTTGCCTCTTGTGGGTGAGGTGGAGCGGCTGCTGGAGAAGCTGTGTGGTTTTGGCAGCGGCAGCAGCGATACTGCCAGGGTAGCTGGAGTTTGAGGTGGCTGTGTCTGTGCCCTTTCTTACAGGGCCTAACTCTGTAGATGGAGACAAACGAGGGACACCGGGAACCAACGCCAGAGGAAAATCCCTGATCCAAATCTGTGGATGGATTAGAAGAGCTCAAGAGGGAGAAAAAGAAAAGAACCAGGTAAGGAATGGCTTTTTCTCTCTCTCCAGCGAGGGCAACCGAGTAATACCGCGATTCCTTTAGGGCTACACAAAGTCAGCAGAGGGAGCGAGCCTGCTCCCGGGGTGTGGGACATCCTCTGTGGCTCCTGAAGCCGGTTTGCTGGGAAGCGGGGCTGAATGCTGGTGACTGGAGTCGGTTACTGAACCAATTCTCTCACTGACAAGCACCCCGAGGGGACGCGCGGGGCTACGAGCATCTGCAGGATTTCGCAGAGAATGGAGAGCACAGCGTGAACCCCGGGATGAAATAATATTCCGAAAGCCCTTGGGTTGTCTTTGGCAAGGCCGTGCGTGTGGAGCTTGTGACCTTCCTGGGCTACTGTTTTGTTTCTGGGTTTTATTGTCCTTGTTGTTATCCAGAGGGCTGCTGGATC